TTGCTGGGTTTGTGCAAGAAGACACCATGGCTGCTAAACCAATGTTCCCATATTAACAGATGCAGGTTAGACGGAGAGCTGCTCAGCTCTGCTTTGCTTGGATGTGTAACCAGAGACAACTGTCTTCTGAATCAGACACAATGTGGCCCAGAATTATAAGAAAGAAGGAAGGAGGAAGGGAAGGAAGGAAAGGAAGGGCAGGCAAGGGGAGGAAGCGGGAGGAAGGAAAGGACAGGGAGGAAGGAACGGAAGGAAGGAACGCGAAGGAAGGGAGGAAGGAAGGAAGAGCAGCGGAAGGCAAGGAAGGCAAGGAACGGAAGGAAGGACAAGGGAGGGATGGGAGGCGAGGGAAAGGGAGGGAGGTGAGGCAGAGGAAGGGCGCAAGGAAGGAAGGGCGAAGGAAGGGAGAAGCGAGCAGGAAGGGAGAAGGCGAAAGGGCAGAGGAGGAAGGGAGGGAGGAAGGAAGGAAGCGAAGGAAGGAAGCCGAAGGAAGGAGGAACGAAGGAAGGGAGGGAGAAGGACAGCGACGGAATGGGAGGGAACGGAGGGAAGGAATAGGAAGGAAGGGAAGGAAGGAAGGGGAGCGATCGAGGGTGAGGGCAAGGGAAGGCGAAATATATATGAAGGAGAAGGAAGAAGGAAGGAGGAAGGGAGGAAAGGAAGGCGGAGGGTAAGGAAGGAAGGGGAGGGGAGGGAAGGAAGGAAGAAATGGAAGGAAGGAAGGAAGGGATAGCGAAGGAAGGGAGGAAGGAAAGGGGAGGAAAAGGTAAGGAGGAAGAAGGCAGGAAGGCAGGCAGGCAGGAGGGAGGGGAGGGGAGGGACTCAGGATGCTTATGAAAATAATCAGCGCCCTGATAGTTTAAAATGATTTATTTTTTTCAAAACATACTGTGTATTAGCCATTATGTGGAGGTGTAGATGTTGCTTTTTGCAGACAATGTTTACAAAGAACTATTACACAAGTTCCAAAGCTTAAGCAGCCTAATGCAGACACAATAAATGCTGTGCTGTTTCACTGAAGGGAAAGATCTCCACCACCACTAAAAACTTAGGGAAGCTGTCATGGGGTTCCAGTCCCATGATTCTGAAGGACAACATTTTAGGGTTCTGAACAAAATTTTTCCAGACATAACCCCAAGATCTTTCTAGATAACCTTTGAACAATCAAATGCAAATTAGAGGTGTTAGAAAATGATTATGCAGATGGTCCCTGACTTACTGTGGTTCAACGTAGGAGTTTTTGACTTTAGTGCAAAAGTGATACGCATTCAGTAGAAACTGTATTTTGAACTCTGATCTTTGTCTGGGTTAGTGACATGTGATCCAACACTTTTACATGAGATACTCAACACCTTATTATAAAATAAGCTCTGTGTTAGCTAGTTTTGCCCAACTGTAGCCTAGAGTAAGTGTTCTGAGCATATCGAAGATAGGCTAGGCTAAGCCCTGATGTTTGGTAGGTCAGACATATTAAATGCATTTTTGACTTAGTTATATTTTCAATTGATGATGGGTTCATCAGGAGGTAATCATAAGTCAAAGAGCATCTATACCCTGTACCCGTTTTCAACAACAGTAGATTCATTCTGGACATTATAGATTGAAATAAGTTAGTTGAGGTTATAGAAAGGATGTTTTGTGAGCAATCAGGGAATAGAAGGGACCACCAGGGGCCGGGACAAACTCCATTTGCATTTTGACAGGGCTGATTAATAAGGGAACACCAGAATGTTGCTGAAAGCATGGGCAGGTTGATCCAATCTTGGAGGCCACATATATCCTGGTGGGGAAGCTAATGAATTAGAGGGACGAATCCACATTTTAAGAGATTTTGAAAGGCTGGAACCAAGAAGATACAGTTTAATAGGAATAATTGTGAAGTCTTCTGTAGAAGTTGTAAAAAAAATTCATTTGCAACACATATAATGAGCATTGTGCTCTCCCTAGTGTGCTAGGAGATCAAGAATTACCAGCATCTTTCTCAACCTCATTTAATAAAGAAATAAAAAAATCTCAGGCCTTTCAAAGAGGAGAGTCCCAAGTGGGGAATTACCTAGAAATCATTCCGTATGAGGAGTGGCTGAGAGAATTAGAGAGTGTAACCCAGAAAAGAGAAAGGTAAGGCCAAGCAAGGGAAATGCACCTCCATAGAAATATCTGAACGGCTTGCAAATGACTTCAGGTTAAAATTACATCAAGGAATTTCTGCACGAGAAAAGGAAGATGTCTCTCACAGTTAAATGTGTCCTCAGTAAATCTTTGTGTAGCTTCACTGTGGATCAGGGACACATTAGGTGTGCAGCAGGAGCACTGACCCCAATGCTGGAGTGGCAGTGGCCCCAGCTCTAGATTCATGTAGACAGAGAATATGTGCATGTTTGTGTAAGACATTGTGAAAGGGATTCCAACATTCATTAGGAGGCCAATCTGAAAAGTCTTTATTGCTCTTAAGATTCTGTGAATCTGGGACTTTAAATTTTTTCTTGGCTTGTCTCAGACTCTCTTCTCACCCTTAATGAAAGTGTGACCCAGATGAGACTCTGCCATCTTCTTTTTGCACTCTCGCTATGGGGATATGAAAAACACCCAGACCCTCATCTCAGCCCTGGCATCTTTCCAAACTTGATTCCAAATTTGCCTCTGAAACAGCCTCACCTAATGTCCCCCGATATTGAAACTAGATGAGTCTCTCCCCAAATTGCTGCTTCCATGTTGTTTTAGACCATTCCTGTCACTCATGTTACTACATCTAGCTCTGCACATCCCAAATCTTGCCATTTTCCTGGACTCCTTGCAACTCCTCCTTGTCCCACTGTACACCTGGTAGGACTCTGATTCTTACAGATTTCCTCTATCTTCACATTATAATGTTACCCACACAACCCCTGCTCTCTTCTCCAATGCCCAGAGCCTCTCACTTGGACTAAGGACTAAGAAGCTTTCAATAAGTCCCAGGCCCCCACCTCCCCATTCAGAGCATTCTGGATTGCCCGGTGGACGCAAGTTCACAGTACCCACACCCATCCACCACCCACCTCTGCCGCTCTTTTTCCTCTCTCCCCTTGGCCCAGGTAGAAGCTTTCAGGTCAGTAATACAAAGTCACATCTTAGCTCTTTAATGTCTAGACTGTGCACCAGACCACCATCCTGGCAACTTCTCTGTCCAGTCAAACTGACCTAGTCATTACTTCTCAAATGAGCTCATAATTCCAATGCATGTGAATTCTCTGCATGGAGCACACTGCCCGTTCATGTCAAAACTCCCCACATCCCATGCTCCTTTAAGGTAGGGTCAGTGTTAGGTTTAGGGAAGGGTTGACCCAAACGGCTTTGGGCATCTAGACCTGTGAAAGACCTGAGCCTGGGGGAGGATGCCTGCACGTGGCAGCCAAGAGAGGTCTGCTGTTGGCATGGCAGTCATTGCAGGGAGCTCTTTTCTCCCTGCTGGACACTGCAATTCCTTAGTACATTGCCATGACCAGCTCATAGGAGAGAGCTTGATGACTGACCGAGAATAGGAAAGGAGAATTATTGTGGTGGGCAGAATGAGGAGAGCAGTTGATTCTGAAGACAACTGAGGCTGATAACTCTTCCAAGTGTGAACTAAAGTGGGATGTTTACTCCTTGAATTTGTTTCCCCCTTTTTAGAGTATTGTACCAGCCACTGCTTGGTAGTTCCCTGGAGCTAATTAAGTCCAAGTTTCTGGCGGCATTATATGTATGTGTGTATATATATGTATACACACACACATGAAGTATATATAAGCACATATATATATATATACTTTGTAAGTGTTAAGTCATTCGGGGAAAGAGGAAATTCATTATATTTGCTGTGTCTTTGCAGATAAGTATAAAGACATGAACTGGGAAATCCAATGCTATTTTGCTTTCTTTTCTTTGCTGTGTGGGTGGAGTAGATGGGCCCTGTTTCATTTCCTAGACTGAACCCATCTGTGCACAAAACCAGGCCCCATCTTGGGGTTACCATTGGGACTGGCCGACTTAACGAACTAAGCTTGGCTCATGGTGAGGACAACCTCTACGTGGTCATTCTGTGACTGTCCACGTCTTTCAGAAATAGCATGCTGCTCACTGTGCAGAAACTGACCACGTTTGCCAGCCCCCAAAGGCATGAGATGGAAATGCTCCCACATATGTATTCTTTCACTGCAGAGCTGGTCACACCGTCAGTTGAGTCCATTTCCGGAAAGTTCTGTTCATTGAACAGTATACTTAGCCTCAAGACTTTTTAGAGAGCAATGAAATAAAAAAGAAAAGAAGGTTTTTGTGCTCTAAGTAAGGAAACATTCATTTTTGCCAGGACCAAATGTGTAAAAAGAATAAATTATATTTTAAGGGAAACGGGAATTTCAAAATAGCACCACCAAAAAAAATTGGATTTTTTTTTTCCTACACTTTTAGTCAGGATTCCTTCTGTCAGGAGTGATAACCAGGTCTTGGTAAACAATGTCCTCAGAGAAAAAAAAATGAAGTTTTTTTTATTTCTGAATTCGAAATAAACATCTAAGTTTCCAGGAACATTTATATTTCATTTATACAATTCTTTGGTCAACCCGAGGAACTCAGAGCTCTATAATAATGCCACTTACTTCTGATATTTTGATAACAGAAAGCATGGGTTTGTTCAACATAAATGATATACTTTCAAAATGTTAATTTTCTGACTACCGAAAATAAAATTGGATTTCCTAGAAGTTACTGTAGGTTGGAATAAAACATTTAGTAGATGTCTGAGAATATTATAATCATAGGATAGTTATGTTGATCTTTTTGTAATTAAAATAAGATATATTTTAAAAGTCTCATTTAGAAGACATAAGGACTCCATAAAACTCGAGGTCATTAGTAGTAATCTGGGTATATGATTGTGTTTAAAAATGACTGTTGTGATCTGACTGTAGAGTATTTGTCGTAAATGCCTAAGTGAATGTTAATGAGTTATTTACCATGTACTAATGTTAACTTTCTTTCCCCAGATGCAAAGAGTTTAGCTGAAATGCTCATGAGGTAAGAACAAGACCCCAGATACCATGTTTGAAAGAACAATTTCCAACTTGCCTTGATAATTTCTTTTCTTTTTTAATAATGGCAGTCTGAAATGGATATCTTTTCTTTTTAGAAAAGAATGCAATTTCCTATACATTCCAAAATATGTATGTAATACCTCGCTGAAGTTGTAGATGAAAATGATGTATTTGTAGACATGTCTTGTTGGCTGGACACAACCAATAGAAGGATTCCATTAGCCGGGGAACAGAGGCACATAAAGAGGAAGTGGCTTTAGTTTTGCCTTCACCTAAATTTACTACTCGTGAGGTCAAGCCGTCTTTCTAACAGAGTCATCCAAGTTAAAAGAAAAGCACAAAAGGAATGTGCTGTGCCCCATGCTCTTCAAAGGCTCTGGGTCTCCATCAACACCCTCCACCAGGGCACCCATCAGCTCCTCTTACCACTGTCTATTCACTGTCTATTCTGGTCCTGGAAGTCATAGCCTTCATAGTTCATCCTTATGTTAGGAGTAGTCAGCACAGTAGTTGCCTCATTCATAACGGTTACATGGATGGGATGAATGAAGAGTGGTTATTGAGTAAGTACGAGAATGTTCACAACTGTGGAAGACAGAAATGCATCCTTCACAGCTTTCCTTTCACATGTCCACAGGCTTGTGATCGGCAAAGCTGTGACAAGCGCGTTGCTTTCACGTCCCCAAACTCTATTTTCCACCCAGTCCCCCTCTTCAAACGTTCAGTTTTCTTGTGCTGTCCCACCTTTTTACTCTGTAAATAACGGAACACTCTGATATGAAGCATTTACACGTATAGATTAATTGCCTGATGTGTTACCTCAGCCTGATATTTGCATTTTAGGCCTTTCATATTGCAATGATTAAATGAAAAGTGAAAAAGGAAAATCAGAGTCTAGAAAATAAGTAGGGAAAATGGCAAGGACTCCGATGGTGAACTCAACATTGCCAGTTTAGGATGATTTATGTGGGAGAGAAAGAGGGTGGATCTAGGATCTCTTCCCACTCCCATCACCAACACATTTGGCTGTGACTTCCTTCTCCATCTGCATATATAAAATTAGTACTTTTTTGTTATTTAAAAACTTCACATGTTCCATATCACTATCACTAGTATCTTTGAAGACCGAAGGCAGTAGTAGAATGCCGTTGGCACACAGATTCCATCCTACAGACATTTTGTTTGGCCATACTGTATTTTAAAACAATGTGAGTTGTAGGTAAAACAATAGTATGAAGGATAACTCTTTTGTTGTTGTTGTTGAGATGGAGTTTTGCTCTTGTTGCTCAGGCTGGAGTGCAATGGCGTGGTCTCGGCTCACTGCAACCTCCAGCTCCCGGGTCAAGCGATTCTCCTGCCTCAGCCTCCCAAAGAGCTGGGATTACAGGCACCTACCATCATGCCTGGCTAATTTTTGTATTTTTAATAGAGACAGGGTTTCACCATGTTGGCCAGGCTGGTCTCGAACTCCTGACCTCAGGTGATTCACCCGCCTTGGCCTCCCAAAGCGCTGGGATGACAGGCTTGAGTCACCGGGGAAGGATAACTCTAAAATGCATTTGTTGTGACTGATCTGATGAATGTTGGTGCCATCTGCCACGATGAGGAAGATAGAGGCAGGCTATGGACTTTTGATTTTTTTGGAAGGTAGGTTGGGAGGAGGTGTTGATGGGAATGAAAACACCTGTCTGGGTCATGTTGAATTTGGGATTATTTTTAAGGCATCCAGAGGAAGTATCAAATAGACAACTGGTAGCAGAAATCTGGAACTCAGAGGAAAAGCAAAGATGCAAATTCTCTCTACAGTATCTCCTTCACAAGGGGTACTTCATCACACTTCTGGGAGAAGATTACAGACATTGCATGAGATGCCTTCAGCCCGTGCTCTTTGTTTGTGTGACATTTATGGGTCACAGGGAATACATCCAAACACATGCACTTGTGTTGAGTAGATCTGATAAAACATGGAAAAGAAAGAAGTCAGAGTCACTTGACTTGTAATAACTGATCTACCCAATAAAAGAAATTGTCAAAGATAGACTTTAAAAATATGAATTAGTTGATGACATTTAAAATGAGGAGATTTCATATAAAATTTGGCTTTCTGGGCCGGACGCGGTGGCTCACGCCTGTAATCCCAGCACTTTGGGAGGCCGAGGTGGGTGGATCATGAGGTCAGGAGATTGGGACCATCCTGGCTAACAGGGTGAAACCCCGTCTCTACTAAAAATAAAAAAATTATCTGGGCATAGTGGCGGGTGCCTGCAGTCCCAGCTGCTGGGGAGGCTGAGGCAGGAGAATGGTGTGAACCCAGGAGGCGGAGCTTGCAGTGAGCCGAGATCACGCCTCTACACTCCAGCCTGGGCGACAGAGCAAGAGTCCATCTCAAAAAAAAGAAAAAACAATTGGCTTTCTGATTTCTCTTGAAAATGCCCTGGCCATACTGGACATTGCTGAGGTCATAATGGTGCCTGGAGGTAGGCACAGTGCCCCTTTAGAATGGTGTGACTTTTGCTCACCACAGCAGCCCCCACCCCTGGCCTGCTTCACCAGTTCGTACACTGAGCACGACTCCTGCAGCCCCCCAAACAGCTTCTCCTCCCCTCAGCTGTGCTCTGCACAACCTACCCTGGCCCCTCCCCTATCTACTTCCAAACTGTAAATCATGCCTTTGTCCAGAGGCTGTGAAACTGCAGGCTATATTTTCTGACATGTTCAACATTTGTTCAGTTAGGATGATTGCTTTTTCACTTCTCCTGATGTTCTAGAGTGTATTCCTACTCCTTCTCCCTAGCCTCTGAGAAAGACATTAGCAAGCATCCTCTATAAACAGGGCAGTGCTGTGGTTGCAAGACCATCTGTTGATAAGAGGAGGAATTAATTATGGTCTTCCTATTGCCAGTTGCCAGGATGAATTAGGAACAGTAAAACCAGTAATCACAACCACTTACGATAGTTACAGTGGTTTTCCTTCAAATGGTCAAAGTGATTGAAAAGGAAGAGAATTTTCAAGCTTCTCAAATAGGTGGATTTTTATGGGATTAATTTAGAAGTAAAAGCAAAGCTTTTACCCATGAAAGGTTCGTTCAATCTAAGTTTGGCAGGTGAATGGGCCAACACACAAAGACCTCATTACCTAACTGGTCAATTTAGGATCAACCATTTTTGGACATGTCCCAAGGGGTCCAGACAAATCGTGTCCATTGGCAGAGAGAAGGATACTGAACAGCTACCCCTGGTCTGTGCTGCTGTTGTCTCTGGAAGTCAAAGGAGCTGGCAGCCTGGTACAGTGAGAATATGAACCACAAGTCTATGTTCTAGGCCCCGTGTGGCCATAAGCTGGTTTTCAGATCTTAGCAGGTCATTTTACCACTTTGTGTCTTGATTTCCTTACCTAAAAAATAAAAATAAAATATTCAACATTGTTTCTAGCTTTATCACTCCATGTTCTGTGTTCTAGGTGAATGTAACATTTATTTTTCAACCATTTTCTACCAAGAAGTATCTGCGTATTTCAGGGAGATTAGCTGAGGGCCAGGCCAGGAAGGCAGGTGAGACAGCAGAACATACTACTCAGCCTGGGTCCCCAGGGATCTCTGGCATGGCAGCATCACCCATTGCTGAGCTTCATGCTCCTAGATACCCACCTATTTTACCCACGCACATCACCTCAGGGAAGAGAGACTGCATCCCTCACACCCAGATAGAAAGGTTGTCCTTTTATATTTTTATGCAAGATTTAAAAAAAGAAACAGCCTTCTAAGAGGTGCTTGCTCTAAAGAGCTAACCTGTATACTGTAGAGAGCTAACATGTATAATGTTTAAGGTCCAGGAATCAGTATTAGTGAGTGAGTTGGGTGTAAGTAGAAAAAGGTTCAAATGGAATGGTCAAATTAGTTTAGCTTTTTTGATGTTCGTATTTTTGTGCACATAAAAAATCTCTACCCTAGTGTTATAATGAGCTATGCTCCTAACAGTCCCATAGTCATTTGTACATTTAAGGAGTGTTCTGTGTCATATTTGGGAGGATGATGGACTATTAAGACTTTGAAGAGTGGCAGTGGCTGCAAATAATTGATTGGCTAAGCCGGGAAATTCTCTGCCCTGTGAAACCCCCTCTGCTCTCCTCTTCTTCTCATTTTAATCAAACAACCAGATGGCAAATAAATGGATGGTTGAAGATTATAGCTCAATAATAACTAATATATTTAGCATGATCTTATGCCATGCCAAAAAGATGCAATTTTTGCTTCCACAGTGAAAACATTTGGACTCTTTTTTCCAGGTTGCAAGTGAGGTTTGTTCAAATCACTTTTTTAAGGTTTGCTGCCATTCTAATGACCAATTGTTATCATTTTTGAGGTTCACAGAACACAGAGTGATAAATATAAATGTAACAATAGATTGTCAAAAATGACAGCAAATATTAAGTAATGGAATAACTTAGTTGGAATCCAATGACCCTTTTAGAATGAGAAGGATATTATTGCCTCAAAACAAAGTCACTCAGCTCACATTGTGCCCTCAAAATAAATCAGTGTGAGGATTTACTTAATAGATATTTATTGAGCACTTACTTTGGCCATATACTGTTCTAAGTCCTAGGGAGACACAGGAAACAGAGCAGGTGAAGAAAACCCTGGTGGAGCATATTTTCCAGTGAGGGAGGCAGATAATGGATAAGATAAATCAATTAAGTATATGCTAGAGAGTAATAAGTGCCAAGGAGACAAAATTAAACAGAGAATGGGGAGAGGACTCATGAGACATCCCCATCACATGGCCAGCCTGGCTCCATTGGAAAGATGGCATCTGAGTTGAGCTTTGCAAGGAGGGAGCCAGCTATGGCAGTTTGGGGAAGTGTGTTCTAAACAAAGGGAGCAGCCAAGTGCAAAGAGAAAGAACTGTGAGTCCAACTGAGTGCAGTGGCTCACACCTGTAATCTCAGCACTTTGGGAGGCCAAGGCGGGCTGATCACAAGGTCAGGAGATCGAGACCATCCTGGCTAACAGGGTGAAACTCTGTCTCTACTAAAAATACAAAAAAAAAAAAAAAAAGCCAGACGTGGTAGCAGGCACCTGTAGTCCCAGCTACTCAGGAGGCTGAGGCAGGAGAATGGTGTGAACTTGGGAGGCAGAGCTTGCAGTGAGCCGAGATCGCACCACTACACCAGTGCACGACTCCGTCTCAAAAAAAAAAAAAAAAAAAGACTGCAGTGAACTGTGATTGCACCACTGCACTCCAGCCTGGGTGACAGAGCAAGACCCTGTCTCTAAAAAAAACAACAATCACAACAACAACAAAAAACAATTAGCTTCTGAATCTCAAGGTTTGTTGGGCCCTTTTCTTATAGTCTTCTGAGGAGGAAGAATTTACCTCCAGCCTTGGTCGTCCTGGCTCGCAGGGTCGAATCATGTTCTAAATCTTGATGCCAGCCAGTCGTGGCGGTTCACAGCCGTTATTTAGCCTGCTTCCTGTGGCAGTCTGGTAGCAGACCCCTTATTGTTGTTTAAGTATAGCCTGCACTTGGTGTTCATCGCTATTTAATAGAGCAGCCGCTGACTGCCTCATAACTATTCATGAAGAGCAGAAGGAACTAGCTCACACTTCTATTTTTGGTGCAAGGACAAGCTCAAGTCTCTAGTGAGGTTTCTAAACAGATCTTTGGGATATTCACAGAGGAGTAGTTCCCCATATGTTTTTGTGGAAATATAGCTTGTCTAAGCATGCCGTAAGTGCACACCCCCAAGTAACCAAAATGCTCTTCATTTTATATGATTATTTGAATTTTTTTGTTACTCTGTTTTTAAAAAAATCAATAAATGAGAAGTGAGTTAAGTAATTTGAAAGAGCACAGAGACCATGTGAAAAATCAGGGCAACACGTTTGAATTTGGGCTCTGCATAATTAGCGTGATGTAGGTATATAACCCAGTTCCTCATCTGCAGAGCAAGAAATCTGGTTCAAGATCAAGTCCTAAGTAGAAATGTTGCACCTTTCAGAAGTTGTCTTTCTCATGGGATAATTTGCTTTTCCTCAAATGAGGAGTATACATGGATCTCATCAGGCAAACATCTAAGGGGGTACTTGAGTGAACTTCACTTTGGGATAATTAAGATTCTGTCCACCACTTGGTTCAAGAATGGATGAGTCCTCATTAACAAGGAAGGATCGGTGGAGGCAGAGCCCTGGGACTTGGGGTGAATGGCTTGGTTAGAGGGGAAAGCATTTAAAATGTAGCGTGAGTATTCCTATTTCGGTCTCCATTGAAAGTAACACAGAGGTAAACCATTATTGAGTTAACTAGGCTCCGGAAATCTTTCTCAAAACTAGTGTTAACAACAATTGAGCTGGACTGATGGATGCCATAGATTATGCCATTGATTGGATTATCCAAGGGACTGTTACTTCTTACAGGATGCTTTAGCAAATACTATTTGAACATCTAGTAAAGTCTTATTATTCTGTAAAGACTGAACAACCGCCCTTCTAATGTGGATTGCTAATTAAGGTCTTTATTGACTTTCTTAGATTTTTGTGCAACGTGGAGATTTTTTTTAACTGCAGGCCATAACTGAATACAATTCTACCATGCAGTTTTACTACTTATTTTCATTTACTTTTAGAGAACAGCTCACTCTAAGAGTAATTTTCTGGAACACAAATTTTGAGATTAAATTATGATAGTAATTGCTTTTCTTTTTTCTATTCTAAAATGTACTATCCGTTAGGAAAACTAATGTCAGGGAAGCTAACAAGGTTTGTGATTTGATTCTAGAACAAACATAAAATGACACCAGATATAAATACAAATCCATTAGTAAAACTCCCATCCGACAAACAGCTGGTGCATGTGCTTTTTCCCTCACCATCTTTGGAATATCTGGTGCTCTATTCCTCACCCTCACTGGAATATCTCATATGTGACAAATGAAAATGCTGTTGGTTTTTAATTGCTTTTCATTTGTTTCATTTAGCATTTACACAAGAAATGAGAACTTTCTAAAGATTCTATTGATAGATGTAGAGCCAGTCTCTACTGACAATTTGTATTTTCTGAAACTCCCCAGCCAGCTGAAATTTAATATTAATAAATAACATTTGAATGAAGGAAACATTTTCATAGTATGTACTTTTTCTGTTCTCCTCCCCACAAGGTATTGTATATTTAGACAATAAACTAAGTTGGTATACAGGTCCATGTTGGTAGAATGTTAACACTGAACTGGATTTGTTAATGCATTCCCCCATTTTATTCCCAGTAAGAATACCCGGACTTCAGATACCTTAAGCAAGCAGCAGCAAACCCTGCGAATGCACATCGACATTCCCAGGGCTCAGCTTTTGATTGAAGAGAGAGACACAATGGAGACCATCGGTAAGGTGCCCTATTTGCCACTTTACACGAAGTGGCTGCCACAGCCATGCCATCTCAATCCAAACCCCAGGGTGTGGGAAATATTAGACAGGAGAGTGTCTTAAAGGCTACATGAGTACAAAAGCTAGAAAGTAGAGAATTGTTCTTGTGAAAAAGAGTAAGTACCAGCAAATGTGCAGAAAATTTGACATATCTACCACCATATATGCCAATATGCCATTCATTTCCAGGCATTTGGGACAGAAATCCCCCAGCTCTGATCTATTTGGGATCTTTCCAGGGGAGGCTATGGATGCCACTCCAAGGAATAAACATCTGTAATCAAATACACATCAATCCAGAAGGCCTGCACTCTAAAGCCCCAGGTTGAAAATCCACTCTGTGCCCCCCTCATCAACTCTGATAACGCAAGCCATCCTTAATGAAAACTTTTAAACTATACTTAACACTTAAACAAACACATGTCTTTGTACAGGGCATCTTCCCCCACACCCATGCCCCAGAAACATCCTGCAGCTGTTTCCCCAGCAGCACTTTGGAAGAAACACCAGGACCCTAGTCTTAGGGTTTCAGAACAGCCACCTGGAGGTTTCCTGGCTTGTTCACCCAGAACCCAGGTGTCTTCACTCTTCCCAGCCTCTTTCCACCTGAAGTCCATTACCCCACACTGCCTCCCTCGATTATTCTATTTATTCTGGAGTGAAATACCTTATATTTCCTTTCCAATAATAATGAGAAGAATAGCTAACATGTATTGAGAATTCTGTAAACGTCACATAGTTTTTGTAAGCACTTCGTGTGCATTACTTAGTTTAACCTTTCAGCCAACCTATGAAAGAAGTCTTGCTTTTGTAACCAAGATGTGGAGAGGTCTGTGTAGCATTCCAAGGTCACAGAGACAGGCGCAGAACCAGGTTCCCCACCTGGCCACACTCACCACCATGCTGTCTGTCTCCAGTGACAGCTAGAACAGCAGCAGGCCACCTGCTTCCACACCAACAGGCTGCTTCCAAGAAACCCTCAACCAGAAGTTACCCAAGCTTTTAAGTGCCCATGGAAACACTCTGAGGCAGGCTCCAAGGCTGCCTCTTTTCAAACCTGGCTATGTTTGTTTTGGAAGGTGTTGGCTGGCATGGGTTCCAGGGCAACCCTTCCTTGTGGTCTGGATAAACTGCCTGACTCTCAGCACATAGCCCAGCTGCCTCCTGCCAGGAAGGCAGTGGTAAGAGGCCACGTGGGCAGAACACCTCCTCCATCAACCCTTGCCCTTCTGCTGCCCCGCCCACCACCAGAGACATCTTGACCTAATGGCTCCTAAATTCTAAGGCCTGGGTTCTCCTAGCTGGAGTCGCATTTGGTCCAGGCATAGCAGCCCTTAAAGCAAGACTGGTCAAGTCCAAAGTGGCTCTTGATGGGCTAACTTCAGTGAAACACTTCAGTTAAACCATGTATATGAGGAGGCACTACCTGCCCTGAAGTACACAAGATTTTATTAGCTTGCTTATATCAGGATAAGGGATAAGCTACTATGTTTTGCTTTTGATAATCTTTTTTTGGGAAAGGGAAAGGTAGACCTGGAATCTCTTTTGTTTCACCCAGTAGATTGGGCATTAAAACTAAAAATTTCCTTTGAAAAAATTTCAAAAATCAGAATGTAATTCCTTTGACCATGTAATTGTATAAGCCCTTTATATGCATTGTTTAATTTAACCCTTCCAGCCAACATAGGAAAAGGTTCTTTTGTAACTGAGACATAGAGAGGTTACATAGCTTGTGGAGGTCACCATGGTTATATAACACGGTTACAGTATTTGCTAAATGCGCCTCACTAGAGTTAATAATCCTACATATGGCTATGAAAATAGATAGGCAGATGCCATGAGTGGTCTATGGCCTGCCAGGAGCTGGTCACTGGGGGCTTAACACCAGAGAAATTCTGCCAGTCATTTCCATTTGTAAATATGACCCTTAGCCAGAGATCCATCCCAGTCCATGCAGGATCATCTATCAGCGAGAGCCCTTGACCTCCTTGTGATGCCTGACAATTGGTCGATGGCATTTTCTAATTACTGGGAAGTAGAACTGTGGTGCTTTAAAATGCTCCGGGCTCTGACTACAAGAATCCAATATTACAGTCACATTAATTTCCAACTAGTATGAATGGTTAGCCTTATGATCAGACGGGCGCCCAAAATTTTCCATGAAAAGTGTGTAACCTAGCCCCGCAGATCATCTGGTGTGATCTAAAAAGGCCTGCATGCTAGAAACTGTGACACCTCCCATCATTAATGAAAAACAAATGTAGACATGGAGCCTCTGGTGCTGGGTCCACTTGTAGGACACTGTCTCTGTGGAAGAGCCACCCTCTTGGAGGAGTCGAGTGACCGCCACGGGGCCAGACCTCCAGGCCAAGCCCTGGCTCCTGCTGTGGTGCCACCCTCACCGCACCACACGCTGGGATACTCACAGACATCTTGGCAGCCTTTCCTCTATTTCTCTGCCAAGAAATTTTATTCTAACTTCGAGAGGCTTTCCTTTCCTGCCAGAGCCTGAGTAATTGGATTTTGTAAGGTTCATTCTGTTCAGAGCCTTTTTTGGGCATGGGCGTCGAGCTGTGTTGTTTACGACTTTCGCATCCCTGTTGCAGTGTCAGGGCAGGCTGCAGCGTGGTCCCTGCTGACTGATAAACTCCCAGCAACAGCATCCTGGGCTGCAGTCTTTGAAAATTTATGAAAAATCTATATATCTTAGCCAAAGTCTCCCTTGGAGTAAAAAAGCTCTTTAAAAAGTATGGAACATATCACGAGGTAGTAATGAGAACCCTGGACCACCAAATAATGACCCAGCTCAAACAGCGACTCTTGCTCCAAAGACTGAGATGCCCAGAACCCATCCAAACCCAGGCTCCTGCCTTGCTCACCTTCAAGTGCCCACGGCAGTAGGACTTGGAAAGTCTGACAAGTGAATCACGTAGGAGAAGTCAGTTAATGGATGTTCTAGAGTGATTAAAGCTTACAGGAGGTGGGAAGAAAAGGAACATACCTTGAGTCCTTTAAAATAGAGGAATCAATAAGCTCTGAAGACTGGCATGTTTTCTTCTCTTTATTTCGCCTCCAAACATTTGCCAAGTTCAGAATAAGAGCAAGCCTCAGTAGAGAGAACTGCAGTGGCGATTTTCTAGTCCTGCAAACAGAGCTTCCCAGCAGCCAAAGGGATCCATCTTCATTGACAGCCTCATCACTGGTGAGTGGGCTGGCGCTGCAGATGATGTCTCAGAGAAGCTTTTGACAAACACATAAATCCAGAGTTCACATCAATGTTAGCTTAATGAAAAACCAAGCGCAAAGAGAAAGAAGAGCTCCTTCTCTGCATAGTCATGGTTCTTCTTAGCTCAGTGCTCCCAAAACCAACCCCTAGGAAGAAGCTTCTATTCCTAGCACTCTAGAGTAATGCTGATTCAGTGCTTGAATTTGCAATCTTTTTTGTCACTTTAGATGAGGCTATTCTTGTGGTTGTCATTAACAGTAACACAAGTGCCTCAGGAGAGAAAAGGCCAGGGAGTGGTTGGAAGGGAGGTAAACGTGTTTGGCTCTCTGTCTGTGTTCCTGCCGTTCTGTAGATGATCGCTCCACGGTTCTGTTGACCGATGCTGACTTTGGAGAGGCAGCGAAGCAGAAGTCCCTGACGGTCACTCACACGGTCCATTACCAATCGGTGTCTCAGGCCACTGGGCCCTTAGTGGATGTTTCAGATGCTCGGCCGGGAACGAGTGAGTGGTCAACAACACTTCAAATGTGTGGGTGTTAACAACGCTGAAAACATAGTAATGCTCTTTCTCTCTCAAATGAAAATGTGTGGCTTTTCATACCTGTGCCTGAGAAACAAATGGGTATAACAACATCTCTAGTTGGGATAATGAGCTGTTATGGATGGATCTTGGCTATTATCATGTCAGTTGAATTACTGTTAGTATTGGTTTACTATAAAAAGTGCTAGAAATTTCAGGTACATGTATTTTTTTTTTTTTAATTTAGGCAACACAGAAAAGGAAGAAGGTAATCCATGTTAGTGTGTATCTGCTGTGTGCCAGTATTGGGATAGAAAGATGATGTCATGCAAGTTATCTTTGCAACAATCCTGTAGGATACCTACTCATGAAGTAGGTATCATAGCCTCTATTCTGCAGATGAGAAAACTGTAGCCTCAGATAAATTATGCAAATGCATAAAGTTGCACACATAAGTAGTAAAACCAAGATTCAACAACAGACCTGTCTATCCCCAAAGCTTATGCTTTTCCCCCTGAACATGCTGTTTGAGAAAAATTATAGTTCTGGTTAATGTGAAGATTATGTTGGATTCTGTTATTAATATTTGCATCCATAATATATGGAAATTAATTACTGCAATGAAGGTAAATCCCCTAATATGTATGTAGAGCTTATCAATTAGATACTCTTATTTCTTCATAATTGGAATCATTCCTAAATCTCTTTAAAGACTGAGAAATTGATGTCCCGATTATTATCATTTTGGAAGCTTTGATGTCTAGCTTTCAAATCTCGAATCAATTTCTTTGCAAAAATTTACATTCTTAGTGTGTTATTATTAGAAAAATAAACATTATAATGTTAAAAGCTATTCTTCATAAATCCTAGCTTGAGAAACATTTGCAAAATGCAGTGAGCTTTATGAAGTAAACCCGTTGCCTACAAAATAACATTGTAATATACAGAAAACAGTTTCAGCAGGCATTGAAATTCATTTAAAAATGTTTTCAAGAACATTCTACATTCGAAAGAAGTCTTTTACCTCTTCCTTTTGTCTAATCTTCTTCCCCTCTTTCTTCTTTGATCACATTAGTACATTCTAAAGACATAAACGGGATATGAGTGGGAATTAGCTTTGCAAAGGGGTGTGTGCCAGAGCCTTGCTCTTAAAAAATGATTCAGGCCGGGCGCAGTGGCTCACGCCTGTAATCCCAGCACTTTGGGAGGCTGAGGCGGGCAGATCACGAGGTCAGGAGATCGAGACCATCCTGGCTAACACGGAGAAAACCCTGTCTCTACTAAAAATACAAAATAGTAGCCGGCCTGGTGGCAGGTGCCTGTAGTCCCAACTACTCAGAAGGCTGAGGCAGGAGAATGGCGTGAACCTGGAAGGCAGAGCTTGCATTGAGCCGAGATTGCACCACTGCACTCCAGCCTGGGTGACAGAGCAAGACTCTGTCTCAAAAAAAAAAAAGATTCAAGGACTTTGACGTCTCTTCAGCCATTGGCTTCTCCACTGTGAACTGCCTGGTGTGGCTTGCTGCTGCTTCAAGACACTGCTCCAATGGGTTTAAGAGCCACTTTTTTGCTGCTACATCAGAAAAAGTTATAGATATTGAAAGGATTCGATTTTTAGAGCGATGCAGCCTTGGCTTCAGCATTCTGTTAGAAACGGTAGCGGAAGAGTAGGCAAAAGAGACAACAGAGCAGATGCCCTGGGTCTCATTCTCCACCTTTACATGCATCAGAATCACCTGGTGCCTATTTAAAATATCAATTCCAGGCCTCCACCAAGAGATTCTGGCCTGAGAATCTGCATGGTGACAGATACCCTGGGTGATTCTAATGCTGGCTGTTTGGACCCCACATTGAGAAACATTGCCGCAAGGGTTAGAAATGTTTCCTGTGTGTAACGCAGCAGGGCAGGACCCCTCCAGCACATCAGTTCTTCCTGCCAGGTAAAAAGCAACGTGCATTTCTACTTTCTTTTCAATGGTCAGCTAGCAGCCGAGAATGCATAAAGCTAGTCATAAATAGTTAAGACAGGAGAAGAAGCAGCCCAAAACAAAAGCACTGGCAACCTTCCGGCTGCATAGTCAGCCCCAGAATAATGGGGAAGTTGATTTGTTGGCATGTAAAATATCAACAGAGACATGAACCTGAGTCACAGCAGATACTGTAAACCAGTGGTCAGTGAGTGGCAGGCAGGATGCACTTGGGAGAGACGTGTGTATATCTCATGGCTATACAGTTGGAAGCAGGGCTGGGAATGTTAATGCATTCATTCATTTTTCAAAAATATTTATTCAGGTTTCACTTTACATATATGGCTCAGTGCTGTGTGATGGAGATACACCATGAGTAAGACACAAAAAGACATTCATTTCATTCTAGTCAGGGGGCAGACGTTAGACATGGAGCTAAAGTGTTTCTCATGTCTCAGTAAGTCCTAGACAGAAAGAGAATGAAGCCATGGTGAGTCAGCGTTCATGTGGAGCAGTGGGAGGGGCTGTCTTGGGTCCAAGTCATTCGGGAAGACCTCCAGTGAGGAGAAGACATGAAACAAGATCAGAGCCACAGCGGGAGCAGAGGGGGCGGCAGGGAAAAGCTCCCAAGGTTCCCCGCATGATGAGGATGGAAGTTGGCACTGGAGCACAGTGAAAGGCAAGGAAAAGGTGAGACAGAGAAACAGCTGTCCTCATCTTGCAGGGTACCTACCCTAAGCCAGCGTGTGGCAAGTGCATTTCATTCTGAGAGTGCTGAGATGCTGTCCTTGGGGCTTAGCCTGATGATCACAGGGAAACACTGCAGCTTATAGAACAATGTTTGTTTCCTTTGTGATGAATTTCACTAAATGATGTTTACCAACAGCAAGCAAATCTACTGAAATGCATGCATCAATCTCTGGTTCCCCCCTCGCTCTCCAAAATGAGCTTATTCATTTAGCACTTGCGGAACCCTCTGTGTTAGGAAAAGATCTTCTGGATCATTTTTTTGTTAAATGTTCCTTAAAAACCACAGTACGAGGGACTGACAACACTCCATGTTTTATTTAGAATTAGAAATGATGGGTGACTGGCCCCACAGTGGGTTCAAGAGTCTGAAACTCATGAACTTTCTGAAGCACAGTTCCCCCACTAGCTTCTTGCACCAGAGCTTCTCACCTCTGCCCAGGTGTTTCTACCTCAGTGAATTCCATGGAGCAGGTTCTTCTCACCGCAGTTGGGCATATTTGCAGAGATTCATTTGTATTCTCTATTTTCTCAGCTAGAAAAGACATCATGATTCTATTTTATATGTTAGGACTGTGTTGTCATTGCAAGCATTCTTTATTTTTAAGAAGAGCATCTAAAACATGTTGCTTGCACACCAGAATGACTGCATTGTAGAAGTTACGTTTCTAGGCATTTTATTAGTTTGCCAGAGGGTTGCAACAGATTCTTATAAGGGTGGGAGAAATGATAACAATTTGCTATTTATCTCTGTCAGTGTGTGAAAACACGTCCCTTGGCTGTTCTGCTGCACTGATTACTTCTCTGTCTCTCCTGTGGATTATAATACACTGGAAAACTAGGACTCTATTCATGTCCTCATCTGCATACCAGCCACAGTGTCTGACACAGGCATGTAGTGGATAAATACCAATCAGCCATCATGTTCTGAGATCGCAACAATGGGAATGGAAAGAAAAAAGATGTTGAGTCATGTTTGCTGCACAGGAATCATAGGCAGGGCCGGCTGAGCCTGCCCCTTGTGCCCAGAGCACTTGGGCACATTAATCTCATTCAAACTTCACGACAGCTCTTAAGGTGGGTGATGACATCACCTAGTCTCAGAGACTAGGGGATTAGGCAGGTCTGACAAGGTCACTTGGCCAGTGACACAGCCAGGGAGTAGTGAATATGAACTTCCAGCCCAGGCAGCCTAATTCCAAAGCTCTCATTCTCAGTCATTCTACATTGCCTTTAGGTAGAGATGCTACATATAGGATATGTAGAGACTAAAGAATAGACTTCACACATATGCACATTCAATGACAAAAGCTTACAACATGGACTCGAATTTTTACTGTTGAGACTCTGAAAAAAAAAAAAAAATGCCTTCTGTCACCCAGGATGGGACTAGCAATGGCCCTGAGGGAAATACCTGGGGTAGGTAAGGTGCATCCAGTGGTCCAGGATGTAATAAGTGCTAGATAAACATTTGTTAGTTACATGAGGGAGTGTTCAGATCTCCCAGTTTCATCCTCTCTATGAGACAATTAATAAATTTGTTATGTAAAGCTGGACCTCCACAACTATAAGATATGGAAACCAATGGCACGGACGAAAGCAGATTAAAAGCATGATCACAGTACACATGACACGTTCTGTAACCCTATTATCTACAAAATCCTCTGTCATCCCAAATTCAGGATAATTCAAATAATCTGATTCAATGGGCAGAAGCTTAATTAGGGTTCAGACCCCAGGTTGAAAGGCCATGAGCTATTTATATCCCATGCCCTCCAACTCATGGGCTGCTGAGCAGGCGTGATGCTTAATCACCGAGTTTTATTTATGTTAGGATGCTGGGAGCCTAACAAAATACTTTCCATGAAGGGGCAGTAAATCCCAGCGTTTATTTGCTTAGTAGATGAGCTAGTAAGTTATACAAAAAAGGCTACCCGTGGAATCCAAGTAAAAATTGTATTTTAGCTGCTATCTTAGGCATTATCATACAGCAGAGTTCAGTTCAGGTACAAAACAATGGCTCTAAAAACCCAATTATTAAAAAATAAATGTGTCAAATACTTCAGTATTCTACATACTGAGACAATTTTGATCCTAGGATGCCTGCCTCCCACAGAACAGAACTGAGGGCTGTGATTTAAGGAAACTAATATCCTGACCTATATTTTCAACATTATCAGGCCACCAGTAAAACTGTTCTTATCTAGAAAAAAGAGATTACGAACAAAATTAACTTGAAAAGAGACCTGGCTTTGAATCAAGGCTGACATGTGCGACTTTCCCATGGAATTTTCCAAATAGGATGATCTTAATGAGGAAAGGGGCTATGATAGTGAAGATCTTTGCCCCACCATTGGGGAGTGAGCTCAAGGAGAAGCAGCGAGGGTCAAGATTTGGGGGATTGGAGGAAATAATTGTATCCTTGAAGTGGGTCTAGCAAACTATACCCCCCAACCACCCCCCAACTTCTATGCCAGACGTAAACCTGCTCAGAATGAGCTGCAACAGTTGTAGTTGCAAGAAACTTAAAGAAGAATAAAAATGAAAATTTTCAAAACTTATGTAAGGGACTGGGTAATTTTCTGGAAAAAACTCATTAGCATTTAAATAACAAGCTCTGGTTATTTAAGCTCCACTTATCAAGTCGATAGTGCCTGGAAGACATTTAGCCTCTTACCCATGATAATGTTTTTCTGTCTTTTTGAGGACCTCTTTCCTAGCATTTCAGTGAAGAAACCCAATTATCATTCATACCTGGTTGTGTAGAGCTCCAGCATAACTCATTTACATTCTCATCAAGGCCAAAAAATATCTTCTAATGAAGTCTTCCATGGAATTGTGCAAGTAAGGGATGAAATGTGTCTTAAAATCAATGCCCCAGAGAATATTCACCAAGATTGAGTATTCTGATGATTTAGGAAATCTTAAAATCTATCTCTTTGGCTGCCATCTTAACGTGCCTCTCCAGCAACACAGAATGATAGATTAGGTTCAAAGTCCAATTAACTAGAAACTTGCAATGAGGAAATCTTCCATTTAAAAACAAAGTCATTGCACCTTCCCAGTGTTAGCCTTTCAAGTTCCAACATGGAATTATGAGCAAGCCAGGGTCATGTAGACACTGTACTAGGAAACTTAGACACTCAGGATTTGGCCATATGTGGTCAAGTAACAGGCATTATCTGAACTGAAAAGGCAGAAGGTGTGGGCTATAGTTTTATCACTTAACAGCTGTGTCACTTCTCTCTGAGCTTCCATTGCCTTCATAAAGTAACCCTAGGTCTATGAATTCCTTCAGAAAACTCTGTATGTCAGGGATTATTGTAGGTTCTATGGATGGATCCAAAGAGAGATACCATTGCCCCTGCCCTGGAGACACTGCCAGACTCATGAAAGCACATAAATAAATCAGTGCAATAACATTACAGGCTGGCCCTGTCAGTTTTGCTCCTTTGAAACTTTGTGAGGGCCCAACAGTGAATACAGTCTGCTGGGTTTAGAAGTGGCCAGACCATACTGAAATATGACTGCACCAAACTGCTCTTTGAGAAGCAGAGAATTCAAAGGTAGAAAAGACCCATCTAGGACCTTAGAATGCCTCCAGGCTGGAGCCCCCAAAAAATCATTCCAGGTAACTGAACCTCTCTCGTTTTCCACAGAATTCTGGAAAAGGCAATGTCGTAGCCCACTCTGATACCTGACAGTCTCTGCTGGTGGAACATCCTTCTTCTTAGCTCACCAGCCCCATCGACTTGCTGCCTTTGGTTCCAGATTTAGAGAAAATGAAACCCATCTGGCACCAGCTTAACCCTTTGTTCTCCATATTAAATAACCCAAGGTGTCTGTGTTAAAGTTAGGACAATTCCATTAAAGAGATGTGTTATCATACGCAAGGAGCTTAAGGAGAGTTGGGACATAATGATATGGTCCCTCTGCTCTAGGAGCTTTCAATTTAATGAATAAAACAGTCATCATTAAAACAATGAGTAGCAATATGAGAAACAAAAATAGAGGCAACATCTGTATTAATTTCCTAGAGCTGTTTTAACGTAGTACCACCAAATGGGTGGCTTCACAGCACAGAAATGTATTTGCTTGCAGCTGTAGCACTCCAGTCTCCACCTCCATCATCCCATGGCCTTCTCCCCTCCTGTGTCTGTGTTCTCTTCTTATAAGGAGACCAGTCATAGTGGATTAAGGGCCAACCCCATTCCAGTATGACCTCGTCTTAGCTAATTTCATCTGTTATGACCCTGTTTCCGAACCAGATCACACATTCTGAGGTCCTGGGGGTTAGCACATGAACATATCTTTTGGGGGGACATGATTCACTCAAAACAACACCTAAGGTTGTAGAAAGGAGGTCGTGTTAGAACACATTGGGCTGAACTTCCTTGTGTTACAGAAGATGATGATGCCCAGGAAGGTTAAATGATGATGCCCAGGTCATAACATTATTTTTTTTGTACCATCATTCATTTAATTACGGTTGCAAACATCATAACTGAAGTACCTCTCTCAAGTCATTCTCTAGCACAGTAATTGGTTTTATTTTCTTTATAATCTTCATCACTATCTGAAATTTTCTTGTTTTGTCCTGTAATTGTTGTCAGTCTCCCCTCATTCCATTTCTAGCTTTTAGAAGCATCACAACATTATTAAAGGCCAAGAACAAGACTCAAATATGTAACTTCTGAATCCAAGTAGGGTATTCTTTTCCTTTCAGGGCTGATTAAACACGTAAGTATCAGATGAAGGTTTCAAGCCATAAAGGAAAGGGAAAGTATCCTCTGCACAGGAGAAGTCAAGGAAGTTTTCCTGGAGGGTGTGGGCAAGTCAGCAGGGCTGAGTGGGTGGCACTGACCTCCGCTCTTGCTCTCAGCTGACCACACTCCTCTGCAAAAAATTCTTGGCTCTTCACAGATCCCACCACCAGGAGGAATGCCAAGGCTGGGCCCACAGCGAGAAACCGCTATGCCAGCCAGTGGACCCTCAACAGACCCCACCCCACCATCTCAGCACACACCCTCACCACAGACTGGAGGCTGCCAACACCCAGGGCTACAGGATCAGTAGACAAAGAGAGCGACAGTTACAGCGTCAGCCCTTCGCAAGACACAGGTAGGCCCTGACGCTGCCTCTTCCATCCCTGGAGACCAGCACAGCCCCCACACCTCGAGCTTCGTGGTCTCCTTGGGGAGGAGAGAGACGGCTTCCTCCCTCCTACTGATGTTCTTTTGAAGGTCACTTTCAAATTGTTAAGCGGTTTATCTAACAGTTACCGATACAACTGCATAGCCTTTACTCCACACAAGGCAACACAGAGCCAAACTGCATCTCTTCTGCAGGTGTCCTGAATCTTAGACCCAAGCTTATTTCTCCATTTAGTTCCTACCCCACTGGGAGAAATAGAGACATTTTTAAATTTGCACCCCCGTGATTGCAATAATTGCTGATTACACTCTGAGGGCGTCTGACCCACTACCTTCTCCAGGATTAAGACACTGCACTTGAAGTTACATGATGAGGTCGCAGCACCCTCTATAGGGAACATAGGCTGATCCGTTTGACAATAAAACAGGGGTTGCTTATAAGGTAAGTCATTCGGTCTGTGCCATCAACCACCAAGTTTTCACTTCAGAGAGAAGACAGGGCCTAAGAATAGCAGTGGGTTGCCCACCACTCCCCCTTAAATTTTGAAAAGAAACTACATCTGAATCTAATAGCTGTAGGAAATATTAATACTCATTTTTCTTTTGTTCTTGATGATATACTTCAAAAACAGTGTTCCAGAGGTGGATCGTCGCCATGTGAATTTATTTTTATGGCCGTGATTTCTCTTAGAAGAGTCTCAGAGTTCCGCAGAGGTGACCTTAAAACTTTTTAGTGCATTTGAAATGCACACATCTCCCTGACCAAGATGACGTGGCCCAGCTCAAAGGCATGTGGGCACCGGTTTTTGTCCTGATGGTTTTCTAGTCCCCATAGAGGGTAAGCACAACAGAAGATGCATCCCAGGGGTTGCGGACCATTCTGCACTTGTGTCCAATTTCCGTGCAATGTCACGTCTTTATTTCTAAATATCGTCACATCTTCCTTCCTGAGCTGAGGCCCCAGAAGCTGGACTGCAGCTCAAATCATTCATGCCAATGAAAGAGTCTCTAGGGCACAGATCCATTTGCAGGTTGGAGCAGAGAGAGGGGTGCTGCCAGTGCTGTTGTTTTCACTAAAAGCAGGACTTTTTTAGAGGGAATGCATTACTTATTTATGGAAATGTCCCAAGCTGGAACATCTGACTACAGCAATTTGGTTGCAACAAAGCTTTCCTTAGCCAGATCTGCTGAGGCTTGTGAAGCTGGCCTCAGGAGCCTCTGACAAGGAACCAGAACTCCTACCAGGTCCCACCATGATCTGGAAGAAAACAGTCCCAAGCCAGGAAGGGCCATGCCGTTGGTTCAGACTTCTGATGGTGAGTCGTCCGTCTTGTTTTTCTCTTTCATGGTGTAGATCGAGCAAGAAGCAGCATGGTCTCCACAGAAAGTGCCTCCTCCACTTACGAAGAACTGGCCAGGGCCTATGAACACGCCAAGATGGAAGAGCAACTGAGGCACGCCAAGTTCACCATCACAGAGTGCTTCATATCAGACACGTCATCCGAACAGTTGACGGCAGGGACAAATGAGTACACGGACAGTCTGACCTCCAGCACCCCTTCCGAATCGGGAATCTGCAGGTTCACTGCATCTCCTCCCAAACCTCAGGATGGAGGAAGAGTAATGAATATGGCAGTTCCAAAGGCACATCGGCCAGGTGAGCAAGACCACGTGGGGGCCGTCGCTTGGGGAAGTGCACCTTCCTGGTTCTCCCTCATCTGCTATGAAAGCCCTTCTCAGTGTTCAGACCAAATGGGTGCTCTGTTTATTGATGGCTGCATAACAAACCATCCCAAAGTTCACTGGTTAAAACTACAGCAGTCAGTTATTTTATGAATCTGAAATGTGGATGGGGTCTAGTGAGGGTGCCATGCTGCAGAGGCTCTCCTGGGGCTGGGCATCCACTTCCAAAGTGGCTCACTGGCCTGGCTGTGTTCTCCCTGTGCCGGCCTCTCCACAAGGTGCTTTAGCTTCCTCACAGCATGGTGGCTGGGTTCTAGCAGCAAATGGCCCAAGACACAGTCTGTGGAAATAGCCAGTTTCCTTAGGTTGGGCCTGGAAACACACAGCTATAATTTCTCTTGTATTCTAGTAGGCAAGCAGTCACAGAGCCCAGGAAGCCCTGATTGCAGAGAAAGAGGCCCCCGACTGCTTGAGGGGAAGACTGTTAAACATGCGAGGGCTGGATTTTAAAACGGCCACACTGCGGGCTTCTGAAAGGGGAGAGGTCTTACTGTAGCCAGTGTTTGGGACTTGGCCTCACTGAATTACACAAGGTGATGGTAACTGGCTAACATTAGGTCAGCCAGTAGTTTGGTCTTCAACTTGAACACCTGTGAATCATCTGGGTTGTGAAAGAAAGCTGCACATTCTGAGGTCTGCAGGGCCTGGCGGATAATAGAATGCGGAGGCTAAGAACCGGGTCAAAGGAGTGATGGGGACATATGCCATTTCAGAGTTCACTGCTGTCTAAAGGAAAAGATTCTAGCAGGACCCTGCCAACTGATCGCAAGTGGAAATGGGGGTCTTAGTGTGGGCTTGTGTTTTAAGAGAAGCCAGAAATCTTGGTTTTCTATGGAAATTCACAGCTTTTTTAGTGTTGGCTTGGATATTTGTAAACCATTGTACAGGGCAAATAAAACACATCTTCAGATGGAATCCAACGTATGGCAGCCAATTGTAGTTCTCATCTGAAGAACCACGTTTTCTTTTTCACCCTGAAATAGCTGCCTGTAGACTTTCCTTCACAGACTTATCTAGCCACTCTTATGGAATCCAGTTTTATTTCCCATTTTACCCATTTTCTACACCACTGTTCTGATTCCATTTCAAAAACGTATCTTCACTTTTGAATGACTGCAGTTCCCTTGGGTTTTATGGGATAAGGCCTAGCTGAAATGAGCTTTAGAGATGCATAAAAATATGTAAAATAAGAATTGTTTATCCAACAAATAATCTTCCATACCAGCTCAAGATTCTTGCCAGCATCCAATAAAGAATGATGGCTTCATTTATTTTCATTCTGTCTACCTCCTCAGGGGAAAAGACGAGCTGTTATTTGTGGGTGTTTTTATTTCAACTATTTTTTTTTTTTGTATTGTTGGCATTTATTTGCAAGGCAAATGGAGAAAAATGCAGGATAAATGTCATGGTTTTCTGCAGCTGTTCAGCCTGAATGTGAGGAGGACCAGAGAGTAGACCGATGAGCCTGTGAGCATATTGGATAGGCGTTCTCAGCTTCAGTTCCTGCATCTGTAAAATGGGAATGGCATTGGTGACTATGTACTGGGCTTCCGTTAGATGCACGTAGCATAACACAGGTGAAGAGGTCAGCAGAGGAGGCGCTCAGCCATATTAGCTGTTGTTTCTGGCGCTGTCTGGTGGCTGTGGTTGTTAGAATCCCCGTGGTGACTCCAGTTGTACTGCTGGCCGCCTCTTCCTTCTTGCTTTTATTCTTCTCCAGTGACCACTGAAGTCCTAGCAGGCACCCACCTCAATTGTGTGTCACCCAGTTAAGTACTTTATGCTTCCACCTGAGATAACATGCCATCATTTTCCCTTTGTGTGTGATTCAGGGCACAGACTGAGCTTCTAGGTTAAAAGACTGTCCTATTTGTGCAGGCGTTTACATAATTAGAGGGTTGAAGCTTCTTTTTGATGACATGCTGTTCATATTGTTAGATTGTCTCTTAAAAATTTGACCTTTCCTCATGACATTGTTGCCTGGATCCATTAGAGCAATGGAAGATCATAGCTAAGTTACTATTGTCTTAATATACTTTTCAGAGTAACATGATTTTATAAATATAGGTTTAAATAATCTCTTAAATCAATGCAAGTTCAAATGTCCACAAACTTTGTTTTATCTACCCTAGATGACTGCATTATTATTGAACATCTGATATGCTTTAGAAAATATTTCAGCCTTTGGAAGCCTTTCCATTGCTCCTTTATAATTCAACTAAATTCAACACTGGGCACAAAATACAAGGTTCCTATGTACTTTTCTGCTAACTGGAGGCTGTGATACAATTAGCAGCTCCTTGAGTTGTGCTTTTAAATCACATTCTTTTCCTATGTGCCCTCTTCACGCTAGATGATATCAGTCATATCTGTTTCCATTTATAGTCTTCCAAATCTCTTGATATATTTCTCCTCACCTTTAGAGCTTCTTTTTTGATGGTCCTTTTTGTTCTCTTTCCCTTTTTATTTTTTCTGTCTTCGGTACAAATAGTTATGATCCCCAAACTTTTAAATTCTCTGCAAATTGGGATCAAGTTACATGAATTTGAGCAGATTGTGGCTTCAGAAAAATAGGAAACATGTCTGAATTATCTTCATACTTCCTTCTCAAGGTCTAGCAGATAGGCAAGTAGTTATCATGCAAGAAATATTTATAAATGGATTAATACTATTGAATATCCAATAGTATTAATTCATTTTTAAAACTATATATATATATATGTATCTCCAGTGTGTGTGTGTATAATATACACATATATGGCACTGTGTCTGGTACATAGTAGGTGCTTCATAAACATTATTGTATGAATGAATATATTATGGTTGTGACAACAAAACCAATTGGTGAAAATGAAAATATTTCAATTACTGGAAATAGTCAAATACAAAAGGACATTTAAATCGACTCCAACTTTCAGCACCTTTAATCAAAGTGACTTATTTTCTGTTCTTGCCCTTAGCAAATAGAAAAGACATCTCTTCAACAGATAAAGGGGTGCTCTCCCATGAAGTGAGGATAGCTATCCACAAAGGAGGCAGCATTATCTAGCTATAATTGTACTGATACCTGAATTTTGAATTTGCCTGTACAATTACAAGTCCTAAAAATGCAGCAAATTATTGTCTTCTTCCATAAGGGATGACTATTCCCATCTCTACAAACAGAAAACAAAATTCTATTCCTCTGAGAAATAGCTGCAAAGTTTAACATCTTTTTTTCCTCTGGGTCAAGGTGGCTTCCAATTCTTTGATTACAGTACCCATTCTTGGTTTCAGGTAGCATTTTGAGCCTGTTGCAAACATTCTTGGATTACTGTTGCTGCTTCTTTATTCATGATGTTTATCCTATGCCATCAAGAGAAGCCATTGCATGAAGCTACTTAATTCAATTTCAAGTTTCAGACGTGCACCCTACCACAGCCTGCCCCACTAGCGGTAGGGAAAGCTTCAACCCCTTGGGATCTCTGTGCTCATGCCCTCTGGGCCCCAGACACAACATGATGAGTTTCAGCCCCTTCCTTGGGGAATGCATTTGAGTTTTGTTTTGTTTAGTGGGAAAGGGCCACTGCCTGGTGCCAACTTGTTAATTCACTGAATGACAGTAATTCGAAACAATTACTGGATTTTAATTTTAGGATCCATTCATCTTGCATCACTCTCTCCTGAGGGTGTGAGGGTGGAGAGTAAGAGACGGCGCCCAGGGCATGCATTGAGGCCAGGAGCTCCTGGAGGAGCCCTTACCTGAAGAAAGAGCCTACCTCTGCACAGGTCAGCACTATTCTGACCAAGGCTGGCCACCTTATTCTCAGTTGTCAATTTGACCATGCTGTTTTCCCTCTCTGAAGTCTGTGTATCTCTCTTGTTGGCTCTTAAATCAAAACAAGATACCAGCAATCCAATCTTCAGAGCTAAATAACCCCCACTCCCAGCTTCGCTTACCTACATCTCCCTCACTGCCTGAGGACTTGGCTCAGGCAGCTGGGGTGCCAAGCCTCGGCACCGGCATCTTCCTCCTGTTTTGCACATCACTAAAACTCAATTTTGAAATGTTTATCATAAATATTATAGTAAAGGTCTCCTTTCAAATGAAAATCTCTTTGATGCCTACACGTGTGTGCATGGGCACACACAGGCATGCACACATACACATTCACACACAAGCACACATGCGTAGGTACTTGTGCACACACATGCACATATGCATGAACACACATATATGTTCACACACATGCACATGTATGTGGGCACATAAGCACATGCTCGTATGCATGGATACACACACACACACATTCTCACTGCCCTGCTTTTCTAGAGGAAGGTTTGCTCCCTCCCTCTCAGCCTCCCTGCTTCCCTGTGTTTCTTTGCCATGCATGTGTTGAGTGGACACTACATGACTGGTCCTGTTTCGGGAACTGAGCATGCAGTGATAGACAAGACCCACAGAGATCCACATTGAAGAAGCTTCTGTTTCTGGAAGGGAGACGGACACTGATCAAGTAAACAAATAGTATCGTTCCCGACCATGGTGAGTGCTGGGCAGAGACACAAATCCAGGAAGGGGATAAAACGTGGGAGAGGAGTATTTTGGAAAGAATGGCCCAGAAAGGCCTCTGAGGCAATGAGATGTAAATGATGGGATGGAAAGAGCCCTGCAAAGATCCTTCTGGTGGTCCAGAGAGCTGAGCAAAGATAAAGGCCAGGAGAAAGGAATGAGCTTAGTGTACACAACAAGGATCAAGAGTTCCCTCTGAACTGCCAAACACACATGACCTTTCAAACACTCCCATAGAATTTTAGGTTAAAAGAACCCTGGGGCCATCCAACAAAGCCTCCACATACTGCTGTTCACACCCACTCTATGTCGACCTAAATATTGGCATGTGCTGATCCTGATTTCTGCTGTAAAACCAGGTC